TCTTCGGAAGTTCATTACCATATGGAAGCATATCCTTTGATATTTCAAGTAAGGCAGTAAAGCTCTTGTCGCTCCACCCATTCCCAACTTTCAAGTTGAATAATTTTAATACAGCAGATAAAGGAATGAAAGATGGAGAATTTGGCTAGTGTTTGATGTTGGGTTTTTTAGTAAGAGTCAAGCGATCACTCTTTCCTTAAAACCTTATTTGCCACCTCCCAAAAGTGCTAGGAGCGTTGTGGCCTAGGCTTCCCAGACTAAAACTTGCTACGATTCAATGTTTGAGCACCCAAACAAGGAATCCGGCGAATATGAGCAAGATTATGAACACAGTAGGCTTAAGAAAGGAGTAGAAGCAGAGAGTTTTAAGGCAAAAAAGATACTTTCTTGTTGTGTTTTCATCTCTACTGCCCAACTCCTTCTTATATAGGGGTGAGAGATTAAATAGATTTTAATAGGCACTTAAGGGCACCCCTCCACCTTCCTGTAATAGCAACCATTAACATGGGTTTCAAATCAGAAATTAAAATTGGAATTAATTCCGTAACAGCTGAATTGACCACCCAACGGTTACAACAGGACAGGTTCGTGCAGACCGAAACTTCCAGTTTCGACCACCAGGTCGAATTGACCACCCAACGGTCACAACAGGATAGGTTCGTGCAGACCAAGGCAAAGTTTCGGCTCCCAAGCTCGCAAGGCCAGCCAATTCCTGGGCGATATTCATGCCCGCAGGTGCTGGCGCACACGAGCTCGGGCTTGAATTAAGCCTTTTCGATCTCGTTTCTAGTTGGAATTTGATTTGCACCCCCTCCTCCCCCCCTCCGCGTGAGAGAGCCTCTATGCTATACAATTCTACAAGCTCCAAAACAGCTCTTGTATAAAAATTGACGCAAATCCTCTTTCCGAACCAATGTGGGACGAAAGCTCACTTTTTCCCTTCATTTTTCCAACTCAAATGGGTCTACTTTGAGAATCAATATCTCATTCACCCATTATCTGTTTTGAGCGTACAATATATCAATCTCTTCGTCTCACTACGAAGAATCCGGATCCACTTTGACCCGACCCAAATTGGAAGTGGACCCACTGATAATTGTACCACAAAATAGCCACTTAACATGCCATTTTATGCTATTTTAAGCTATTTTTTTCAACATAACCAACATAATATAGTGGTCGTATTTTTTTTTGTTTTTGTTTTTTTTTTTAATTTAGGATACGATGTCGGTCCATTCACAAACCGACGTTATAACCTATATTTTTAAAAAAAATAAAAAATAAATTAATAACTTTTCATATTTTCTATAATTTTTTATTTAGCTGAAAAACCGACGTCGTAACTTATTTTTAAAAAAAATAATTAATAATATACGACGTCGGTCCTTCATCGAACTAACGTCATATATGTATTTTAAAAAAATAGCGTTCTCTCACATCTAAACCACCACCAGCGTTCTTCTTCTTCTCTACCCTTCAAACAAAAGAAATCCCTTCGCCGCGCTACCACTCTTCTCCTCTTCATTATTCTCCACTCATTCTTCTTCCCAACCATCACTGCCACACCGCTACCACCGCACTTGCCTCTTTTATCGTTTTCTTCGGTCGCTACCGCCGCCGCCAGCCTCATCCAGTCGCCGCCCGCCATTTTCCCACTCGCTGCCGCCCCACCACCGCCACCACCTTGTAAAATTTATACATTTTTAAAATATTGTGTTACTTTTTAGATTTTTATGAGTTAAAAATCATTTTTAATATATTTTGAATTATTTATTTATATAGTTTGAATTTTAAGAGTTATTGTGTATTTTCGGAATTATTATTAATATATTTCGAATTTTAAGAATTATTGTGTATTATAGGCATTGTAGATTAATATATTTCGAATTTTAAGAACTATTGTGTATTTTAGGAATTATTGTTAATTTCTTTCGAATTTTAGGAATTAATGTTAATATACTTTGAAATTTAGAAATTATTGTTATTATATTTCGAATTTTAAGAACTGTTGGGTATTTTAGAAATTATTATTATTATATTTCGAATTATTTTTAATTTATTTTTAATTTTAGAAATTAATATTAATATAGTTTAAATTTTAGGAATTATTGGAAAATTTAAACATTATAGGTTATTGTATTTCGAATTATTGTAAATATATATATATATATATATATATATATATATATATATATATATATATATATATATATATATATATATATCAAATTTATGAAATTATTTTTAATATATTTCAAATATACCTGATTATCTGCTGTATTAAAATTGGCCGATTCCTCGACTTCAAAATGGTTGATTCAAAGACCGTGCTAAGTTAGGTAGAAGATTTGCAATTAATATTCGACGAGATCCATGACGAGGGCATGGTGCTAAGTGAAGCCTTCCAAGTGGGATCTGTGATCCACTTGTTGCCTCCAAGTTGGAAGGACTTCAAAACTACCTTAAGCATAAGCAAACGGAAATGAACTTGGAAGACCTGATCCAACGACTCAGGAATGAGGAAGGGAACAGGACGTATGATAGGAAAGTTCCTATCATTGTTGGCGCTAAGCCAACGTTGTGGAGCACAGTAAGAGCTCCAAGAGGAACAAGAAGGACAAGCGAAAGTTAGGTCTGGAAGGTGGCGTTACCAAGAACAAGTTTCTTGGTGAATGCTACAATTGTGGCAAGCCTGGCCACAGAGCATCTGAATGCAAAGCTCCAAGGAAGAAGAACAAGAGTTCTGAAGCCAATGTTGTTGGAGATAGCAGTCAGAAGGAGGTCGAGATTAGCCTTTCGGCTATGGTGACTGAGGAGAACCTCGTGGGCTCAAACCCTCGTGAGTGGTTCATCGATACCGGTGCAACTAGGATGGGAAACTCTACTGAGTCTACTGTGGAAGGCATGGGCAAAGTGGTTCTGAAGATGACTTCCGGGAAGAAACTGACGTTGAACAACGTGTTGTATGTTCCTGAGCTGAGGAAGAATCTTGTGTTTGGCTCTCTGTTGAACAAGCATGGCTTTCGTATGGTGTTCGAGTCAGACAAGGTTGTTTTGTCTAAGTTAGGAATGTTTGTTGGTAAAGGATATGTAATTGATGGTCTTTTTAAGCTCAGTGTAATTCCTGTTATCAATAAAAGCAAAGTTAATTGTGTTTACTTGCTCGAGTCTTCCAATTTGTGGCATGGTAGACTAGGTCATGTTAATTTTAATTCTATGCGTAGATTAATTAGAATGGACCATATTCCTAACTTTCAAATTGACATAAATAACAAGTGTGAAATTTGTGTTGCGGCAAAACTAACGAAAGTACATTTCAAATCGGTTGAAAGGGAAACTGAACCACTAGAATTAATCCATAGTGATTTGCGCACGATATTGCTATGTGAATTTGCTTAAGAGCAAAGATGAAGCCGTTGATAAATTCATTCTTTATAAGAATGAAGTGGAAAACCAACTTAATCGGAGAATTAAGAAGGTTAGAAGCGATAGAGATGGTGAGTACGAAGCACCGATTGGTGTCTTCTGTGCAAGTGTAGGTATAATACACGAGCGTACTGCACCTTACGCACCTCAATCGAACGGTGTTGCCGAACGAAAGAATCGTACATTGAAAGAGATGATGAATGCGATGCTTATAAGTTCGGGCCTACCTCAAGGTATGAGGGTGAGACAATTTTGAAAAGTAATTACCTTTTGAATAAGGTACCCCACAAGAAGCTCGATAGGACTCCTTATGAGCTGTGGAACGGTAGGAAACCTTCCTACCAGTACCACTTTTAAAAGTCAAGGACTGAAATTAACAAGACCCCTATAGTCATAGGACCAAAATTGAAATTTCCACTATGTATTTATTTACCAAGTATTTTATACAAATATAATAAATATTAATATTTTGTTCAATACTGATAACCTGCAACACACATATCACAACGCATGAAACATGTAGGGGAAAAACTACCACTACTAAATATCAATAGGTGCTTGTAATATAAAGAGTTAATAGTACAACTAAGATCCCATCATATACACAACATTTCAAATCTATAGCTTCTTACATCATAATCTCAAACAAATCTAAAGCTTCCTACATCATAATCTCATTGCACGATGAATCAATCTATGCTACCAGTAACCTAATTGCACATGACACGCTACCAATAAAAAATTTAAGAAAAAAAAAAGGACATGTACTAAAGATGAAGACAATGACAATACTACCCAAAAGAGAATTAAGAAGAATTAGAGAAATTTAAATCAAAAGTAGTATTTATTTAGACTATCATTTTTAGACCAAGTATTTAGACTATCATTATTACAAAGTTGCAAATATTTATTTTAGTGACAGTAAAATCAATCCTCATATATTATCTTGCATTTATATACTTTAAATTACCAATTTAAATAAACAAATTCAATATTTATTTACCTATACATGAACATCTCCGATATAATATTATATTTATATACTTTGAAATTCTTATTTAAAAATAATCATTGGGCATTATTTCATTCGCGCAAAGCGCGTAAAAAAACTAGTTATTTTATATATATTTTTTGTGTATCGATTTATTCACCATATTCAACAAACAATTTAATCTATAAATTAATTCTAAAAATTAAAATTAGAATTAATTCAAAAATAATTCCGTTAGAATCAGAAGTAATTTTGTTGAGGTTACATATGAGAAGTGGCTTCCACTTTTCGATATCGCCAAATTTTTCATAACTTAGCCTAGGCTCATATTTTTCATAACTTAGCCTAGGCTCAAATATGATTTGTATCTCCACCCCTACTCTTTGAACAAGAAAGAGCCTCTAGGCTATACAATTCAATTTAAAAAAAAAAAAAAAAGTATTGTATATATAGTGGTGCAAACCCACTTCTTTTTCCAATGTGAGACAAAGACTTCTTCCCAGCCTTTTTACCTTCATTTTTCAACTTTTTTTTTTTTGAAGGCAACCATGCGTGGTCATTTTATAGATAAACCAAAATAGAGTCAGGGGGACTTCATCCAATACAAAGCTGTAGACTGTTCTGAAACTGTAGAAGCTAAAGTATGAGCTAATAAATTCTGAGATCTAGGAATAAAATTAACTGAACAGAAATCAAAAGTAGATATGCAAATTTTGCAAGCATCAACAGCATAGCCGATGTATGATCTGAGTGGGGGTCCTCCTAAGGTCAGATAACAGTGTAGCACCTGACAATCCATGTAGATCTGGACAGTGCGCTCGTCCCGGGCGCGTAACCAAGATAGAGCTTCCTTGCATGCAAAGGCCTCGGCCATAAGTGGGGAAAAACAATCCGGCAAGGGGGCATTGTATGCCGCAACGAACCTTCCATCGTGTTCTAGCAAAACCGCTCCTACCGAAGTTGCGTTCGTAGCATGTTGGTAGGCGGCATCCATATAGCATCTTCGTGAGGTCACGACGTAGCCAGCGTTCGGCCCGGCAGCTTCTCCGGGTGGCAGCAGCGTGGATGGCAGTCCGGGCGTGGGGGCGACAGCAGCTCCACCATTGGCAGTCATGACGTGATGTACAGCATTCCATGCGTGCATGGTAGCTTTCGCACTGGCAACAATTTTCCTGGGTAAGGGTAGGCAGGCATCCCAAACCGCTGCATTCCGTGCTCTCCATATATGATAAAGTATTGCAGCTGCATATATAATCCCATTAGTGTCTAGAACATTCAAGATTGCACTAAACCACTCATGAAAAATATTTGTCACAATATATAGTGTCCATATGGTGCTAGCATAACCACACGATACTAAGGCATGCAATGTGTCCTCTTGTACAATTCCACACATGGCACAAATAGGATCCACATCCACCCTCTTTATAAGCAAATTATTCGTGGTTGGGAAGATATCACTTAGGGCTCTCCATAGAAATGTCTTCCATTTTGGGGGGATTTTTAATCTCCATAAAGTAAGCCATTTATCAAACTCTCCATCATTACTACTCGTATAATTTCTTACAACATGCTTGTAGTCATCCTTAACTGAGTAGGTGCCCTTTAGATCCCCATGCCAGTACCAACTATCATCATACTCCGGGGATACTGGTATTTTTAAAATTCGGGGTATATTACTTGGTTGGAAAATATCTTAGAGAATGTGGTGATCCCAATTTCCAGTCCCTGGATCAATTAATCCACTCACTTTGGCTCCTGCTAATTGGGGTGGCATTTCAGTGTGGATCATAGGATCTAAATCATCATGTAGCCATGGGTGTTCCCAAATTAGCGTTGAATTTCCAGTCCCAATACGCCGCCTTACTCCCCCACAGACTAGTAACTTTGCTGCCATAATACTACGCCAGCAGAAACTAGGATTGTTCCCCAAATCTGCTTCATAAAAGGTATGCCCGGGGTAATATCTAGCCCGATAAACACAAGATACCAGTGAGTCAGTATTTGTTAACATCCGCCATGCCTGCTTACCCAACATTGCTAGATAAACGCTCTTAGGTCCTTAAAACCTAGCCTTCCAAATTTCTTTGGGACACACAACTTGTCACATGCCCTCCAATGAATACCTCGGTCAGTTCCTGTCCCCCACCAGTATCTATTCATTGTTCGTTCAATAGCCGTGCAGACAGAAATAGGTAACAAAAATACTCCCATCGAAAAAGTAGGCACTGCTTGAGCCACACTTTTTAACAGGATTTCCTTCCTAGCCTGTGATAACAACTTTTTACTCCAGGATCCAATCCTCTGCCTGATCTTATCTTCAATATATGCAAATTCCGCTCTCTTATTTCTTCCCACAAAAGAGGGTAGGCCCAGGTATTTACCAAAATTAGGAGCCTGAGTAACCTGTAATATTTGTGTCACCTCATTCCTGTCATCCATAGTCGTATTCCTGCTATAGCATATACTAGACTTATGGTAGTTAACCACCTGGCCAGAGAAAGCCTCATATGTTGCCAAATAATTCTTAACTTGTGTGGCCTCATGTATATTAGCCTTGAAAATAAAAGGCTATCATCCGCAAAAAACAAGTGAGAAATTGGTGGAGCACCCCTAGCAACCCTGTACCCATGGATCAAACCATCACTCTGCGCCTGCTGCAACAGCATAGATAATCCCTCCGCACATATAATAAACAAATAAGGAGATAAGGGATCTCCCTGCCTTAGCCCACATGTGGGTGTCAGGAAGCCAGTCCGCGTTCCATTTATCAAAAAGCTATAGGATACAGAAGAAACACACATCATAATAAGCTTAATCCATGTTTCATCAAACCCCAGTGCTACAAGCATTCCTTGTAGGAAAGGCCATTCCATACGATCATAAGCCTTGGCCATATCCAATTTTAGGGTTCCCCAGCCAGCAACTCCACACTGCTTCCTATTCAAATAGTGCCCCACCTCTGCAACTATCAAAATATTGTCAGTAATGAGTTTGTCAGGCATGAATGCACTCTGCGATTCTGATATAATATTCCCCATCATTGGTTTCATCCTGTTCGTGATCATTTTGCCATAATCCTGTACACTACATTACTCAAAGCTACAGGCCTCAAATCTGTTACCAACTTAAATGTATCTATTTTGAGAATCAATTTTCCACTCAAATATTATTCGCTTTGAGCGTATAATATATCAATCCCTTCATGTCACTACGAAGAACCCAAATTCATGTACTTTGACCCAACCCACATCAAAATTAGACCCCACATATATTTGCACCACAAAATAATCAATTGTTATGCCGTGGAACCGTGTCCACATTGCAAAGTTGACACTGTTCTATGTTCATAATTACTGAACTCTATGTTCATAATTATAAAACTCTATGTTTATAATTTTTGAACTTCATATTCACAATTATTGAACTCTATATTCACAATTACAGAACTCTATGTTCATAATTACTGAACTCTATGTTCACAATTATAAAACTCTATGTTCATAATTTTTTAACTTCATATTCACAATTATTAAACTTTATATTCACAATTACAGAACTCTATGTTCATAATTCCTTAACTCTATGTTCATAATTACTGAACTCTATGTTCATAATTATAAAACTCTATGTTCATAATTTTTGCACTTCATATTCACAATTATTGAACTCTATATTCACAATTACAGAACTCTATGTTCATAATTACTGAACTCTATGTTCATAATTATAAAACTCTATGTTCATAATTTTTAAACTTCATATTCACAATTATTGAACTCTATATTCACAATTACAGAACTCTATGTTCATAATTATAGAAATCTATGTTCATAATTTTTGAACTCTATATTCACAATTATGATAGTTTTGGAATCGTGTCCACCTTTCAAGGTGAATACGATTCCACAGCATAATTTGTCTAAAATAACCACTTAAAATGTTATTTTAAGTTATTTTTTTCAAAATGCACGATCAACCTAAATGCCTAGTATTGAGTGCCATGTGAACTCCATTATGGATCATTAGAGCATCTCCAACCCATCCAACTCCAAAACACCAAATTTTTTCAGCAAATGTACATCAAAAGGAATATTCTCAGCATATTCTCACACCAAATTTTATTCATCTCCAACCCATTTACACCAAAACACCCAACTTTTACATTTAAATAATTTATTTTTCAATTATTAGTTTGAATTTAGTTAGTTTAAATGTTTAATATAATTTAGTTCGGACTTAATTAGTTTAATATAAAATATAGTTTGTAATGTAAATAATAATTTTTATTAACATTAATTTTTTTATAACATTAATTATTTTACAAAGTTTAATTTATTCCATAATAATATAGTATACAACATCTAGTACATTTAATTATCGGAATTACTAAACCGTTCCACAAATGCTCAATCAATACATTACGGAGTGCATAATGAGCTTCTTTATCTTTAAATTCTCTAATATCAATATTATGCCATATGTATTTTAATTTTTATTATGTTCTAGGCATATTTGATGTATATTGTATGTATTTTAATTTTTATTATGTTCTAGTCATTTTGATGTATATTGTATGTATTTTAATTTTTATTATGTTCTAGTTATGTTTGATGCATTTAAAATTTTAATTAATATATATTCAATATTAGTCTTGTTTCAATCGTCTCAACGAGATCTTTAAAATGGTATAATTTATATTTAATAATACAAACTTTAAATATAAGTATTTAACAAAATAAGAAATTACATATAAAACAAATAAAGGATACATTTGGAATTATAAAAAAGAGCAAGGGCAAAATGGTACTTTCCTCTCCCTTTTATATTTGACGCAGATGAACAGTGCCATGGCAAATATGGCGCGGCACTGTTCATTAACGCCAAAAAGTTTGGCGAGATGGCGTTTTAGTGTTGCACCTTGGAGATGAAATTTTTTGGCAAAAATGGTGGGATGGCGCTGAAATTTGCAGATTTACCGCCGGTTGGAGATGTTCTTAGTATATTATTACAACTTATTTCACAAGTATAAATAGAGAGGTCCACCAATTAGTTAGAATTTTTAAATTTTTTTTCACTTCTTACATTTTTTTTTGAAGGTCAACCAATGGGTTGTATTTATAGAAAAACTGAAATAGAGTCAGGTGGGACATCATCCCAGTACATCGCAGAAGAAAGCGTAAAAGCTGAAGTAGCTAAAGTATGAGCTAATAAGTTCTGTATTCTAGGAATAAAAACGACAGAGCAGGAAGTAAAAGTAGACATATAAATTCTGCAACTATCTATAGCATAGCCAATGTATGAGCGAGATGGGTTGTCTGGTGTAGATAGGTAGCACTGCAACGTTTGACAGTCCGTATAAAGCTGTATAGATTGTTCACCTCGGGCCCTTAGCCAAGAGAGAGCCTCTTTACATGCAAACGCTTCGGCCATAAGTGGAGAAAAACAACTCAAGATAGGCGTGCTAAAGGTCGATATAAAACGATCGCTGGCATCGAGTAGGACCTCCCCGACCGTAGCCGAGTTTGTTCCTTGGTGATACCCAGCGTCCACATAACATTTTCTTGGCCTTGCTATAGTGATTTGGGAATCTGGTTGGTGCGGCATTGGACCACGCAGCCGGTCGGCAGGGGCGCGAGGCGGTGTGTGATCCGGCAGCGGCAATTGGTTCGTCACGTGGTGGTCCGGCAGTAGCGGTATAGCAGAGGTTTGGCCGTGTAGCTGCCGGGCAGTGGTTCGGCAGTGAGCACTCCGCCAAGCACTCATGGTGGCAGTGGCCACCCCGCAAGTACAGATTTTGGTTACGGTAGACAGGCATCCCACACAGCTCCGTTCCGTGCTCTCCAAATATAATATAAAATTGCAGCTGCGTAAATAATTCCATTAGTGTCTAGAACATTTATGATTACACTAAACCATTCATGGTAAATATTTGTTATAATATTGGGGAGTGGTAGGTTGGATTGAGTCCATATGGAGCTTGCATAGCCACACAATACCAATGAATGCATAGTGTCCTCATTCATGATCCTACACATGGCACACATCAGATCAACCTCCACTCTCTTTATAAGCAAATTATTGGTAGTAGAAAGGATATCACTAATAGCTCTCCATAGGAAGGTTTTCCACTTGGGTGGAATTTTTAACTTCCATAGAGTGGTCCAGTTGCTAAATGCTCCATTATTGTCATTCTCATAATTTCTAATAATGCATCTATAGCCATTCTTGACAGAGTAACAACCATTCGGATCCCCATACCAATACCACATATCATCATAATCTGGGGAGATCGGAATTTTTAGGATTTTAGGTATATCAACTGGTTGGAAAATATCAGTGAGAATATGTTGGTCCCATGAACCAGTATCCTGGTCAATCAATCCCCCAACCCTTGCTCCAGCAAGCTGTGGTGGCATCTCAGTTTGAATCATAGGATCCTGTTCATCCTGTAGCCAAGGGTGTTCCCAGATTAAGGTATATTTTCCATTCCCAACTCGCCGTCTTACCCCACTGCATATTAAATTCTTAGCTGCCATAATACTGCGCCAGCAATAGCTAGGATTATTTCCTATGTATGCTTCAGAAAATGTATCCTTAGGATAGTATGTGGCTTTGTAAATGCGAGACACCAACGAATTAGTGTTAGTAAGCAATCTCCATGCCTGCTTACCTAGCATTGTCAAATTGAAAGCCCTCAAATCCTTGAACCCCAGGCCCCCATATTTTTTTGAGATGCATAATCTATCCCATGCTTTCCAGTGAATTCCCCGGTTAGTTCCTGATCCCCCCACCAATAGCGGTTCATGACCCTTTCAATGGCCGTGCAGACAGATGTAAGTAGTAAAAAAACACTCATTAAAAAGGTAGACATAGCTTGAGCTACACTTTTCAATAGAATTTCCTACCAGCTTGAGATAACAATTTCTTGTTCCATGAACCAATCCTCTGCCTGCTTTTATCCTCAATATAAGCAAATGCTGCCTTTTTATTTCTTCCCACGAAAGAGGGCAGTCCAAGATATTTCCCAAAGTTGGGAGCTTGGGTTACTTCTAAAATTTGTGCCACAACATCCCTTTCTTCCTGCCCTGTATTTTTACTGTAGCATATACTTGACTTATGGTAATTGACTTTCTGCCCAGACAACGCCTCATATAAGGATAAACAATCTTTAATTGCAGTGGCTTCCTGCACATTTGCTTTGAAAAAAAAGAAGGCAGTCATTAGCAAAAAATAAATGAGAGACAGGAGGAGCACCTCTAGCTACTCTGCATCCATGTATTAAACCATTCATCTGTGCCTACTGCAATAATAACGAAAGTCCTTCTGCACAAATAATAAATAAGTAAGGGGATAAAGGGTCCCCCTGTCTTAGCCCACGAGTGGGTGTCACCGGGGAGTACTACGAGTGGCATTAACCAAGAAATTGTATGATACTGTAGTCACACACAACATAATTAATTCCACCCATCTGTCATCAAAACCCAGAGCTAGTAACATTTTATGGAGAAAGGACCATTCCATACGGTCATAGGCTTTGGCCATATCAAGTTTGAGGGCACCCCAACCAGCAATCCCACATTGCTTCCTATTCAAATAGTGTCCCACTTCAGCTGGTATGAGTATATTACCTGTGATCAATCTGCTGGGTATAAAAGCACTTTGAGATTCGGATATAATAGTCTGCATCAAAGGTTTCATTCTATGGGTAATCATCTTGGCCATTATCCTGTAGATTACATTACTCAAGGCTATAGGTCTAAGATTAGAGACCAGCTCAGGGATATTTTTCTTAGGTATCAGCACCACATCCGTATTATTTAAACTATCAGGGAAAGAGCGGGTATTTAGACAAGTAATTATAAATTCCGAAACATCCTTCCCCACTACATCCCAGAAATGTTGATAGAACCCAGGGTTCATACCATCAGGGCCAGGCGCTTTATCAGGGAACATAGCAAAGAGAGCATCCTTTACTTCATTCATCTCAAAGGGTCTTAGCAAAGAGTTATTTTGTGTCTGGGTGACTCGTGGCATTACA